CCTGATCTTCCTCAGTGTTTTGCGTGTATGTGTGAGAACCTGGACTCTGCCATCTGGAAGGTACACACATGGTGGACATGTGGCAGCCTACTGAATAGACTGGGATTCTGAGCAGTTGTCCACCTGACCCTGCCAACTCTCAGGGGCTTTCTGCCATCCTAACCTTCACTGCATCAGCCTGTATGACGAAGGCCTTTGCCTCCTTAGACTGTTTAGGGAGTAAACCTTCTGGATCTTGTTCTGGTGCCATCCTTCACACTCTTGTGGGGAAGCCGCTTGCATCTTACTGGTTTGAGTCACTATAAAGCTATATCTCATTAATGGCCAGAGGATGGATCTTTTAAATTGGAGAAGCTTCTAAACTTACGAATGTTTACAGAGCTCTCATTGGAAGCAGCTGTTCTATTGCTACCTACGGAAAAGAACAAATTAGAAGGTGGAAAAAGATATATATATAAAATGGTTAACCTAAGAACGCCTTTAAAACAAACAAACAAAAAAAATCAAACTAGTTTGGGAAGCCTTACTTGTGGTCTCCACTTCCCCTGAATGGGTCTTACAGATGCTAATAAAAACATTAGGATAATTAATGTTAACTAGGTTGATTAACAGGGAGTTAAAAAAAAACTGAAGTGAAAGTTTAGAGACTTATTTCCAACGAGGTGAAAATTTTAAAGACACTTGTCTCAAAATGATAAAGAAATCTACAGACGGTTATTAAGAAATGAGATGACTGGCAGTCAAGACAGTGGAGAAGCAGCAGCTGGAACTCACCTCCTCTCAGACACAGCAAGACCAAGGCTAACACAACCATCGACAGAAGACTAGAAACTACCAGACAAGACCTTCTGTAGCTAAAAACTTAAAGAAACCATGAGGAGACCGGTAGGGGGTTGGACTCACGATATAATCAGGTCTCGTACCCTCCGGGGGGGCGACCCGCAAACTGGAGAATAATTAAATTGCAGGGGTTCTGCCACGGAAGCGAGAGCTCTGAGTCGCATGTCAGCTCCCCAGCCGGGGGGCCCGGCACCGGGAAGCGGCGCCCCCAGCATGCTGGGCTTTGGAGGCCAGTGGGGCTCGACCACAGGAGCTCTGCGAGACTGGAGGAAACAGAGACCATACGTTTAGGGTTGCACAGGAAGTCCCACACTTGCTGGGACCAAGGGCAAAAGCAGTCATGTCACAGGAACCTGGGCCAGAACTACCTGCTAGTCTTGGGGGTCTCCTGGGGAGGCGTGGGGCAGCTGTGGCTCACCCTGGGGGCGTGGACATGGTGGCAGACATTGGGGGTGCTCATCTGAATGAACTCTCCTTCGGGGAGGCTGACATCTTGCTTGGACATTAGCACCGAGACTTGGCCCCACCCAACAGATTTTAAGCTCCAGAGCTGGGATGCCTCAGACCAAACAACTAGCTAGGTGGGGATGTATCCCCACCCATCAGCAGACAGCAACAACCCCTGACTCACAGCCACCTATGGACATGTCTCTAGACACGGCCCTGCCCACCAGAGAGCCAAGACTCAGCTCCACCCACCAGTGACAGGCACCAGCCTCTAGACCAGACTTACCCACCAGGGAGCAGACTGCTGGAGCCAGAAAACTTCGATCTCACAACCCGCAAAACAACTCCACAAACACAGGCCAGAATCTGCCCTGGGACCAGCTGGCCACAGGCCCCTGGGTGACGAGTGGGGAGTGCACTGCAGGGACACATAGGACATCTCTTAGAGGGGGCCACTCCTCCAAGGTCGAGAAACATAACTAACGTGCCATACACAGAAAAAAACAAATAGAAATTAAGACAAAATGAGGCAGCAGGGGAGTATCTTTCAGACAAAGGATAAGATAAAACCCCAGAAGAAGAACTAAGTGATGTGGAGACAGGCAATCTATCCGAGAAAGAGATCAGGGTTACGATCATAAGACTGATCAAAGATCTCAGGAGAAGAATGGATGAACAGAGTGAGAAGCTAGAATTTGTTAGCAAAGAGATAGAAAAATAAGGAACAACCAGAGATGAAGAATGCAATAACTGAAATGAAAAATACACAAGGAACCAATACTAAACAAGGCAGAAGAATAAATCAGTGAGCTAGAAGACAGAGTAGTGGAAGTCAATGCCACAGAACAGAAAAAAGAAAAAAAGAATGAAATGAAACGAAGACAGTTTAAGAGTATTCTGGGACAATATCAAATGCACTAACATTCACATTATAGGGGTCCCAGAAAGAGAAGAAGAGAGAAAGGGACCAAGAAAATATTTGAAGAAATAATAGCCAAAAACTTCCCTGACCTGGGGAAGGTGTGATTAGATTAAATTCAATTAGGTAAATGGATTTTGTTATTACAAGTAGGCTGGTGCAGAACTGGACCCGGTTCCTGTCTTTGTTAAGAGAACAAAGTTTTCAGGAAATACTGCTTTTGATAACAGATTGTGTGAATTTCTTTGCCTTTAAGTGATCTGTATTTGCTTTTGAAATCTTTTGTCACTATGGTTAAGTGAATAAGCATTGGTCCACAGTGAACTATGATCCTATTTGACCAAGTGTTTTGAAACCTTTTTGATAGTTTTGACAGACTTCCCAAATACTGAATTCTAACTCAAGTTCTTTTGACCTCCAGCTAACTCTGGGACGCTTCAAGGAACCCTGAGACATATCAAAGAGAGATATTAAACTAATTAGGTTAATATATGTTAAATAACATGGGAAACATTGTCAAATGGGCGAGGATAAAAGCTTCTAAGGTTAGATGTCAATAATAAAGATATTCCAAAATTTATATGGAATTCCTAAAAGTCTGATACACTCTGGTGTAACGTGATCAGTCATAATTCTACTTATTACCTTAAAAATGTTGTTTGTCACAGTATATCCAAGTTTCTTGTCGGCTGCATTGTTATGCGATCTTTAACCATGCCATTTTAAGCCTTTTGTCATTTATAGATTATCACTGTTTTACTCTGATGCTTTTATAAAATGAAAATTTTAAAGATTTATAAAAAGGCCTTTCTGACAAATACAAGTTTTGGATAACTTTTAGATCATACCACTGACTGGAAAACCTTTCCTCTTATGACCTGACCTACAACAGCTTGATAAAGTGTAGCTCTGTAAACAAAGATGAAACAATTATCTTTTTCTCTCTACCCGATCCCTCCAGAGTTTGGCTTCTCCAGCGGGCTTCCCTGTGGACTCAATGGCTTATTTCCACCAGATTACAACTAGTTATACTAATCATTGTTTTAATTTGCCCTCTGGGCTTCAAATTACTTACACCTTGTGCCTCTCTCTGCTGTGCTATGACTTTATTATCACTAGCTGTGTTACTCACATCCTGTTTTGTAAGATTGTTGTCTCTTGTCCCAATATGTAACCAGACCTCCAACAAAATTAACGTCTCGAGACAGTTGATCATATATATAACTCTAAATAGAACAGCTGTAATAGTGCAACTCTAGATACAGCAAGAAGCAACAAGGGAAAAACATCTCCTGGATCGTAATAAACCAGAAAGACAGACGATCCAAAGACTTTTAGATTATTAACAGGGCCTGATCCAAAAATTAACACACTGAGTGGCCTATCAACAGAATCTTCACCTGACAAAGGTATGAGCCTTCCTAGCACCGTGAGACAAATTGGTCAAGAAATGCCTCCCACACGCTGGTCAAATTTATGACTAAGAGGAGACACTATGGACAAAGAATGTCACCAACCATATTGGTAAACAAAGGATGCTGCGGTCATCCACCCAGCAGCCACTCCCAGCTGTGCACCCTGAGGGGAGTCAGGATAGAGAAAAATAAGATACTGGCCCTAGATAGTTAAGGTGCAGATCAAAGAAATGATTTCAATGAGTCCAGACTCTTGCATCTTTTCATACATAGAAAAGCAGTAAATTCATTAACTTGATATTTCTGGTTTTCTTTACTTAGCAGTAATCTTGTGATATTCTATCTTTTTGCAGAAAACTCCTATATATCCTGATCCCTCCCTTACCTCTTCAGAACAGTCCCTCAGAGCGATCTGAGAGGCTGTCTTCCAGGCGTTAAGTCCTCAGTATGTTCACTGAATAAAACATAATTCTCAACTTTTAGGCTATGCATTCTTTTTAGCCGATACTATCTACATATTAGATATAGTAATACATGCACGAGTAATAGAAACTTTCAACAAAATTCTAATTATTTAATATATGGTGGCCAAATTTGACAAAATTCTACTTCCATGAAATTTACCTAAGAATATCCCTGAATTTGCAATATGTATATTTGCTTATTCTATAACCAAAAATTAATTTAAATAAAAATTAAGCCAGTTGTGAGAGAATTCAAGATCCTGTAGTAAACTTAAAACATTTTTTAAATGTTCTTTTTAAGTAAAAAAGAAACAGAAAACCATCCAAACGCGTCATTCTATCTTTTTTGAAGTGAAAGGGGAGGTAATAAGGTATCTCATTAAGTCATTGTGATGATTCTAGAGGCAGTCAAAATACGAAAAGCCCCTAGAGATAATTTTAGACGAAGCAGAGAAGCTCCTGGCTCCAGATAGAACCGGGTGACTCGGGCAGCGCAGGAATGTTGACACTAATGTGACAGATCAGACTTGGAATCCCTCAGAATGGACTAGGACGGCTGCAAAGTCGCAGGTACGGTGGGACCAAGGAGAAAACCCGTGCAAACATTACTGTACCCACTTCCAACAAGGTAGCCGGTAACACCTGAGCTCTGGGATGCGGGACAGCGCCAGGGCTCGGGAAGACGCTTCTCCCGAGTCCGCGGCAGCTGTTGACAAGTCTTCGCTCACGACCTTTGGCCTAGTTGTCAACTCGTCCAATTGGGACAAGCCCAGCGGAGGCACCGCGTCGGCCAGAGGGCGCCCGCGCCGCATGCCCTCTGCGCTGGTCCTGCCTGAGAGGCGACCCCGAACAGCCGCGCGCGCCCCTCCTCGCCTCGCTAACTCGCCGTCCCCGTCCCGCCGGGTCCCCGCTCACCCGGGCAGGCCAGCCTGGCCAGCGGTACCAGCATGTTCGCGGTCGCCCGGACTCTGGCGACACCTCGGGGGAGGCGGGCTGCGGCTCGCGGGGCGCGGGACGGCTAGGCCGCGGGTGGCGCCATCCTCACGGGATGCAACCTGTCTTAGTGGAGTCGGCCTCCAGCTCAGCGGGCCGCTCGGGCTTCCCCGCGCGCCCGCCTCCGACTCGCTCTGCGCCTGCGCCACGCGTGACGCGCCGGCCTGCATCGCTTCCGGGTCACAGCCGGGAGGGCGCCGGAGCGTGCTGAGAGACCACAAATCCCAGGGTGCCGTGCGCGCGCGGTGCCCAGGCAGTGGAGGCGGAGCGGCGCGCACGGCACTCTGGCCGTTGTAGTCTTCTGCTCGAGGGTACCGGGAGCCCGGGCGGAGGTTGGTGCTGGAGCGAAGAGCCGCCCTAGGCTAATTAACCGGCTTCGGATTGGCTGTTCCGAGAAAATGACGAGGCTTCGCGGTCCCGGGCAGAGAGCCGCGAGGAGGCGGGGCCTCTGGGCTTTGGGCGCGAGCGGTTGAAAGGCGTTGGTGTCGGTTCGGCTGAGAGGGTTCGGCCCCGCCGCCCAGCCCGCTCCATGGCGGAGCATGAAGAGGCGCGGGTTTCCTCGCCGCCCCCGCCACCGCCCTCGTCTCCGTCGTTGTTAGACTGCTCTTCGGCATCTTCCCCCGGTGTCCCTGTGGGCTTGAGTTGGCCAGTTCCGAGGAAGAGCGACGTTAGGACAGTGGACCCCCTGGAGGAGGTGGAGCTGCAGATCGGAGACGTGAGTGTCGGGGAGGCTGGCCCGCGGCGGGGCGGGCGGACGGGGGACGGAGCCTGCGGGGGCCGAGGGATGCGGTGTGTGTGGTGGCGGGGCGGGGGGGTCCGAGCATCCCGCTCCGGCCGCTCCGCCGTCTTCGTGCCCGGCCGTCTGGTTTCCCTCCCGGCTGTAACCCGAAACCGCGCCCACCCCTCCTTTGCGGGTGGCGAGAGTCAGGCCGCGGTGCTTTCCCGGGACTTAGGGCTCCGCTGTCCTAGCTGGCCGCCTGCCTGGAGCTGTCCGCAGCGCGCTACCTGCCCCACGCTGGCTCTGCGCCTGGCCCACTTAGGGCCACTGCCCGTGGTCCGGACCGGTTTCACGGACGGTTCAAAGACCCCCTCCCTGGGTGGCTGGGATGCCAGGTCTGGACGGTTTCTGTTGAATCTCGAATTTCCAGACACTGGCGCACGCACACGCCCCACCAGAGGGGCGTGTTTCAGTTTTTCAGAACTCGAGTGGGTCAAGTGGATGGGGTCTGTAGGGCGTGATCTTAACTGAGAGACGCCCCCCCCCCCGCCCCCGGTCCCGTGCAGACTGCAGACTCGGCCCGAACTCCGTGATCTCATCGCTCACGCAGGATTTGTGGCTTTAAAAGATGGCTTAAGTGCTGACACAGTTTCTGTTTTTGCTGAGCAAGGCTGTTTCCAGGGGAGCAGTAGAATGGCGTACTGATGTGTTATCTAGGAACGGTGTTATTTAATATTGTAGTTGAAAAAAAATTTTGATCAGGAAGTGCGTTTTCTACCAAGAGTCAGGTATTTTCTGTTTGACTTTGTTGATGGCTGTTTGTGAGCTCATTGTCTGTCATTTGGTCTCTGCGTTGTCGGGGTCTGCGGCGTTCACAGGTGAAAATAGTGGAGTGGTGCCCTTGTTACCCACCGGTAAGAGCTGTTAGTGAAGCCCCTCAGATACTTCTGGTACTTGGTGCCAAGGGATCCAAGTCGTCTTGCTGAGCTAAATGAGACGCTAGTGTATTTTCAACTAAAAACATACTGACTGCCATGTCTCCTACACAGTGGATATCTTCCTAGCAGACATACTTCCTCAAAGTTTACTTCATATTAAAGAATTTCTTACCGTTCCTTGAAAGAGCTGGTGTTTTAGTTTGAAGATTTTTTTTAACTTTTAAAGAAAATAACTTAAACATTGGATTCAAGGTTCTAAGTTTATTTTCAGCCTACTTTGTAACATGAGGTAAGAATGAAAAAAAATGAGCTTCTAATGTTGGACTTCATTTTTAAAAAAATTTCAGGCAGCGTTTTCGTTAACCAAACTTCTGGAAGCCACATCTGCAGTATCAGCTCAAGTAGAAGACCTTGCCTTCAAATGTACAGAAAATGCACGTTTCCTTAAAACATGGCGGGACCTCTTGAAAGAAGGCTATGATTCTTTGAAGCCTGACAGCTGATTCGTCTGTGTTTGTCTGTACGTCCTCATGTATGGCGTCTGTACGTGTACCGTATGTAGAGGATAATCTCCAGCAGTTCTCTATACTGAAACTGAAATTTTTCTTGGTTTCTTTATTTTGATGTGGATCAGCATTTGTTTCTCTTTAAATAATTTCTTCCTCTAAACTTTCATGGACTCTTTTATGAAAGTTAACTTGATTTGTACGTAGTATTAATAATGCCACAGTGTTACCAGTAGCAAACTAGGTAGACCGTTTATCTGTTCAACTTGCAAGAAGATGCCAAGAATGGCAAAGGGTGAAGTTGAGCTTCGTTTTTTTTGGACCAGGAAAGGTAACTTTAAGGTTTTACCACTGCTAGATCTAGCTCTGTTAGGCAAAGTTCCCGAGAACCAATGATTGTCTGACTTCTGTATTTCCAGCACCTAGACCACTATTATCCAACAATCACTAAATATTTGTTGAATAAGAGTTGATAACATAATTAAAAACTGTTTTTCTTCCTATTTTTAGCAGGAAGACTATGATTGTTTCTCTAAAAAATATTTGAGTCAGAACTTCATTGACTTAAAGGACATTATCTTTTTTTTTTAAACAGGGATTTGAACTCTAAGTGGTAAAATATATGATAAATATTTTTTTTCCCTTCTATGATGCTTTTCAGAAAATCTTTTAGTTCGGAAAATGCAACATGTCTTGAAAGAAAGCATATTTTTTCCCCTGTGTGTTTCTAAGGTTAACTGCTTTTACAGCTCCTCGTATTTGATGTTGTTGTATGTTTGATGGCTCTCTTTAAAGTGCCTTATCAAAATTACAGCTCTGTAGTCTGAATTTTGAAACTTTGCAAGCAATAATTCAAATTCTAAATATGATGATTCTAAACAAGTTACTTTTTGAAAATGCATCAAATTTGAATGATGTAATTGTTTTCATATTATTTGACCTGAATGACAGTGTTCTATTTTACTTGTCCTGAATCCTCAGTTGCTCGCTCTCTCTTTTTCTGGTGGGTTTATGTCACGTGTCAGCGATTAAGCCAAGTAATCCTCTGCTGTGTAACTTCTGGACACCTCTGATGTGGCGTCTTAATTCTTTGTATGCAAAGAATACTGTACAGAACTGTAATCTGTCCAGAACTAGATTTTAAAGGCCCCCAATGGGCCTGTGAAAGGGGACAAATGGACGGGAAAGGATATTTTGTTTAGCATATTAGGTCATAGTTCTAAATTAAAGATAACACATATGGTGTCCTCCTATACCAAAGAGAAGCCTATTTTGATATTAGAAAAGTATCTTTCTTAAGTGTCATGAAAATTACAATGTTTAAAATGTACAAAAATAAACACTTGTTCAAAGCAGATGTTATTTCCATTTCTTTGAATTTGTTATTTTAAAAAGTTGGTGTTGTAATATTTCAAACCTAACAGGAAAGATGGGTGATTTGAAGAACATCCCTGTACTCCCAGCATGCAGAGTTAATAAATGTTAGCGTTAGGTTATGTTTTCTGCAGATCTCGGTATGATGTCAATGTTAGACACATTTGAAGCTTGTTTCGTTACCTCTTTGAGCCCACTTCCCCTTCTTCTCTGGAAGTGGTGCATATTCTGGCTTGTGTTTTTACATTTTTAGTACATATGTATGTTTCAGAAAACTACAAAATACTGTGCTGAAAGTAATATTGTCAATCAACTATACTTCAATTGAAAAAGTACTGTTTTGTGTTGGTAGTAACCAGCCTCCGGTTGGCCCCAGTGGCCTCCTGCTTCTTGGTATTCATGCCCTCAGGATAGTCTCCCTCCTTGACTGGTGCTGACTTGTGTAACTACCAGGATACCGATGAAATGCAGCGTGTGATTTCTGAGACCATTTCTTTTCCGTATGGACTTACAGGTATTACATATTTTGAGTACTAACTAATGATGTATTATGTATGTTTCAATTATCTTCTGTAGTCTGCAGTTTATCTTTGTGTTTGATTATAGAATCTTCTTGAATAAAAGTTTTTAGTTTGAATGTAATCTTACCAGTCTTTTCGTAACAGTGTTTTTTGGGTCGTGCGGAGGACATGTCATAAAGATACTCTCCTATCTGAGGTTTAAAAAGTTTGTTTTTAATGTTTAGGTCTTTAATCCACCTGAATTTATTTTTGTTTACAGTTCAGTGTTTGGCTCTTCAGTGCTTACTGTTGTATAGTTGTTCCTCCAAATACCTGTTTCAAATGCTACATGTCACTCAAGTACTATGTAAATGCCTAGTTCTGAGCTCCCTGTTTTGTTCTTTTGATTTATTTGCTTGACCCCATGCTAAGTTCCCTATAACCCCCCCTGTTTTAGCTGTGTCATAAGTGTGGTCTGTACTACTAGGGTTTTGTGTGTGTGGCTTCCTCTCACTGCCCACCTCCCCTGTATGTTTTTTTAAGTTAGAAAAAACATGTTCATTGATTTCTAATTTTATTTAATTGCCATCAGCTTAGGTGTACCGTTCTGGGGACACTTTTAGTTAATACCTCTACCAAGACTCGTAGCTGCTGGCGTCTGAAGTCCCCAGTCCCACAGTTCAGCTCTGCTTATAGTTTCTGTTGCCACGTGTGGTCCACGGAGAAGTTCATCTTATTTCCAAGAATGGCTTTAAAAAAAAAATCCCTATTAAAATTTCTTTTTGCTCCGCTTCATGGGAGAGGTTAGAAAAGAGCTCAAAGCATAAACATTTTCTTAAAGACTTAAGAAAAAAATTTTAAGCTTAGTAGCTCATTACCAGTTCTACACAAACCTCAGTGGACAGCTTACCATTCTGATGATGTAAATTTTTAAAAGCCTCAAGAGGCTGAAGTCAGTAAGTTGGAATTTTTAGCAATAATATAGTGTATTTGGTTTCAAAAATTCTGCGTATGAAATATGCACTATCAGACACTATGCTAGGAGCTGTATCAACATAATTTCATGTGACCATTTTAGCTCTT